GTGACAGAATAGCTTTCTAAAGCCCAAATCTGATGTGTCTCCCTCGCTTAAAGCCCCTCAATGGACCTCAGGATCAAATGGGGGATTCCTTAACCTCGTTCACATAATCTGCCCCCCCACCCTGTGGGAACAGAAACATGGGGAACCTCACTGTGTCAGGTACCAGCTGGGGAACTTCTATACTCAGAAATGTCTTGTAAGAGGCCAATGAAAATGGTAATTAAGAGGTCACAGGCGACCATAAGTGATGAAGGTACCATCAACAGGAGGTTAAGAAGGAAGTGGAGGCTGGTTGTGCAAACTATCGGGGCAGGGAGGGAGACAGGGAGGTAACTTCTTGGGTAAAGATTAAGATTTTGTAAGGCGGGAGACGCCAAACATTTTTTGATGGAAGACAGAGATCCAAGCAGTTGAAAGGGGACAGCTCTTGTAAAGGTTCTGGCGATGGCGTCACAGATGGGAGACTGAGCACGCACTGCAGGTAGGAGTATAATTAACTTTTCTGGACTACAATTCCGAGATAACACAAACATTTTAAAAAGTGAAAATTTCCATTCCTTTTTGACTCAGTGACTTCACTTTTAGGGTTTTTTTCCCCCCTGAGAAAATAGAATGGATGTGCACACTTAGCTACAGGGATGTTTATCAATCTGCTATCAAGAAAAACAAATCGAAGTTTAACAACCTAAATGTCACAAGAAGAGTTTGATGAATTTATGGTACATCATTCAGTAATTAAAAAAGAAAAATGTGTAAAAAAGAAATATAGAATGTGTGAAATAGAGATAATACAGTCTTTACAATATTACCCCATTTCTGTAGGAAAAAATGTTTTTATATGCAATGAAAAGCCTGGGAAGATATACATGAGAATATTAATGGGGCCGGCCCCGTGGCTTAGTGGTTAAGTGCGTGCGCTCCGCTGCTGGCGGCCCGGGGTTCGGATCCCGGGCGTGCACCGAGGCACCGCTTCTCCGGCCATGCTGAGGCCGCGTTCCACATACAGCAACTGGAAGGCTGTGCAACTACGACATACAACTATCTACTGGGGCTTTGGGGGAAAAAAATAAATAAATAAAAACTAAAAAAAATAAAAAAGAATATTAATGGACATCTCTGGACAGTGCGGTATTACACATTTTTTTTTTGTTTCTTTGCACTTCCTAAATTTTCCTATCCTGAATAGGAATTATACTTGGATCAGGAAAACAATTTATAAAATCACACACACACGGTGAGTCCATTATATGAAGTTTAAGACCAGGCAAAACTTCTATGGTGAAAGAAGTCAGAATAGTGGTTATCTCTAAGGGCTGTTGACTGGGAAGACACACAAGGGAACTTTCTGCGATGACGAAATATTTTGCATCTTGGTTTTGGTGTACACGTAAAATTTTATCAAGCTGTGGATTTAAGATTTGGGCATTTTACTGTGTGTAAATCATATCACTTTTAAAAGAAAATACACCCACACAACAGAAGGGAAAGAGGAAGCAGGTGATATCACAGGACGGGTTTGGGGAGAAAAAAGAAGATGAAGTTCTGTGACAAGACCTCCATCGTCTGAGGAAGTAGGCTGTTGCAGTAACGGGCTGAGTGAGGAGGATGCAGATGGGCTTGGACTCGAGAAAGGAGGACAGAGTGGAGCAGTGCTCACAAGGTAGAAAGGCAGGGGGAGTGTGCTAGAGCTGGAGCAAAGGTGTGGGTGCCAACCCCGAGGGCTCCCAGGGTCACTGTGATACGTGCTGGGATGCAGCTGAAGAGCAAGAGGAGAGAAGTTAACCGGCTGAGTTTACTTCAGGAATTGTGACAGTGATACTGGCTTGTATTGGAGAGGGGCATGAAGCCAAGACAATTCTAGTAGGAACTGAGATGAGCGCAGAGGGACAGAAAGGCTTTGAGGGCAGAGTAGGGACAGTGACGTTGGAGCAAAAAAGGCTGTGCTCAGAGAGGGACTGGTTCTGAGGTCCTGAGGGTGAAGCAGTTCCAGGCGAAGGCCAAGGTCAAAGCGCAAAGCCCAGCACGGTGGTGGGGGCGGGGGAGAGGGGGGGAAGGAAGCAAATATGTACTAAGCATCCAGCTACCCAACGCCAGGCACTTGCCAGATACCGGCTCATGTAAAGGGCACCTGAACTTTGCAAGGATGTTTATAGATGGGGAAACTTGCCCGAGTCAGCAAGCCTAAGAGTTTCAAATCCAGACTTGACTCCAAAGCCTCTTTCCACCATCCTCAGGGCCACATGAGTCCAATCAGGAGCACTGGGACCAGAATCTTAGGGAATCCACACGTGCAGATGTTCGAGTCATCCAAGTTGCTGGTGGAGAGGAAAATCTCAGTTGCCAACATCTGGGGTGTGGCCAGTAGCGACCAGAACAGGATAAAGTAGTCCAGGCAGATAGCATGGGCTTCAGCAGCCCTGTCCTGGAGGACCGTGCATCAAAGTGGCAGAAGACAAGTACAGATACTGCTTCCTGGTGCCAAGAGTCAAGGGACAATGAGCAGCGACTGCTTAAGGGTTTTTTGAAGTGGTGTCTTCAAGGGGAAACCAGGTTTCAGCTTAAGGGGAAGAAATCTGGGGGTTCTGTGAGGAAGATGGACAGCAGGAGAGGGGAGGGGTAGGGCTGTGAGAGGGGGAGAGGCTCAGGTGAGGAAGGGACTGGGGGCTCGTGGTGACATTAGGGTACAAGGACACATGGTGTTTCAACTGCAACACTGGAGACGCGTCGAGAGTCGGGCACCACCTGCCCATAAGCAAAGCCTCAGCTTACCCTCCCCTTCTCTCTCCTCCCTTCACCCACACTGAGGGTAAACTGTTAGCAGTGGGCAAACCACCACCTGTTTTGACAACAGCAGTAGAAGCTACTATTACCCAACATCTATCGCTACAATCGGCCCCACTTTACAGATGATGAAACTGAAGCCTAGAGAGTTGTCACTTGGCAGAAATCATGGCCACAGCCAAGCTCTGAAACCAGGTGTATCTGGCATCAGAGTTTGAATCTTCCTTGACTCCGTTAATTGATGGCAAAATCTTTATGTGTAAACTTTACAATCATGAAGTGTTCATTTTTAGTGGATTCTCGCCCCTTTAAGGTGAATAAACTCTTCTTGTACTCACTAGATTGAGACGACATTCTACTTTACACTTAAGATGTACATTAAAAAAATGAAGGGGGCCGGCCCCGCGGCTTAGCGGTTAAGTGCGTGCGCTCCGCTACTGGTGGCCGGGGTTCGGATCCTGGCCGCGCACCGACGCACCGCTTCTCCGGCCATGCTGAGGCCGCGTCCCACATACAGCAGCTAGAAGGATGTGCAGCTATGACATACAACTATCTACTGGGGCTTAGGGGAAAAAAAGGAGGA